TGCTTATGATAAACGAATATGCTTTGAAAGTATTTCACTCATGGAATACTTCTGATAGTAACTCCAATTTAAGATAATACATTATTTTGTTATAACTTACTACAGGAAAATTCAATAGCATATAACAAAAAGGGAATTTAGTTCCAGTTTTTACTTTGATGATCAACATAAATGAGCCCACTTAATTATTTATGAACATTTTATTTTTTTTACAATTTGAATAAATTTTGTTTTCCATAGATAATTTGATATGTACTTTTTAACAATAGTTATTTCAAACAACTATATACATTATGAAAATAAACTACTTACAACTTTATTGATATTGCAATTAAGACAATTAATTTTTAATACCCAAGCTCACCTATAACAATTGTTTGTCAAAAATATTGAAGTAGTGATTAAGTGACACATGTGCTTAAATTATTTAGTAAAATACATTTGTGAAATGTTTTAATAATATAATAAGGATTCTGTTTTATTTATTTTCTTGTGGAATAATACCTTATAAAAATTGCAAACACTTTTTGCTTAAGTCTTTATGTTATAATAGTACAAATTATATTTAAAAAAAAAACAAATTGAAGTTATCAAATGCATGTGCTTTAAATATTTAGTAAAATACATTAGTGAAATGTCTATGTAATCAAAACTTACACATGTTTTACACAGTTCCTAGTCTTAATTATTAATAAGATGAATAAATAAAAGATATAAAAAAAAAACAAAAATTTTCACAAAAATCAGCTTTTTTGTGAGGATAAAAGTTTATAAGAAATTCTTTAATATTACAATATACAATGTAATCATAAGTAACCCAAATTAATCATGTTTACTTTAAAGAAAGTAATCTAATGTAATTGATTACATTTGAATTTAGATGTAATTGTAATGTAATCGATTACATTAAATTAGCAATGTAATTGTTATTAATCGATTACATTTTAAATTAATCGACCCCATCCCTGTAAGTCAGACACAAAAAGGTTACTTAAGAGGAAGATACATTGGTGAATGTGTTAGAATTATTGCAGATTTGATAGATTAATTAGAAAAAGATATTCCAGGATTATTATTACTGGTTGACTTTGAAAAAGCCTTCGACACGGTCGAATGGTCTTTTATTGAAAAAAAACTTTGGATTTTTATGGGTTTTATACAGACATTACTAGTGCAGTTACAAATAATGGCAATTTATCAGAATTTTTTAAATTAGGTAGTGGGGTTTCCTTGTGTTGGAACTACTTGGTGCAGCTTTAAAATATAACCCAAGTGTATCTGGTGTCACAGTAAACGACTCACAGTTTTTACTAGGTCAATATGCAGACGACTCCTCTCTGATTCTGGATGAAAGTGAGGAATCTCTTAAACAAGCTTTGCATATATTTGATTGTTTCTCTGCTTGTGCTTGTTTGAGAGTAAATGTAGATAAAACTGAAGCCATATGGGTTGGCTCAAGATTAGGAAGTAATGAAAAACTGTTACCAAATAAGAAATTATTATGGAATACATCAGGAAAGTTTAAACTGTTGGGAATTCGTTTCAATCTCTTAAATGATGATAAAACTTAAGAAAACTTTACAGAAAAAATTAAAAGCATGAAAAGCCTTCTCAATTTAGGGGCATACAGGAACTTGACATATATTGGCAAAACCATTATTATAAAAACTTTGGCTTTCCCGCTTTTGGTACAGATCCTGGCAGTACTACCAAATCCGCAAGTTCAGGTTATGCAAGAAATACATGGAATTTTCATCTGAAATTTATGGGATGGAAAGCCAGACAAAATAAAAAGGAAGGTTATTATAAGTAATTATGCTGAAGGAGGTTTAAAATTCCCCCATATAGAAAGTTTTTGTATGTCCCTTAAAATGTCATGGCTTTAGAAACTGCTAGATCCTTTAATCTTTTCCTTTGGAAGATTTTATTTCTAAGTTACAGTTATATAGAAAAATATAGGGGAGATAAAATCTAGCATCTGACAAAAGACGGATTGGAAACTGTTGCAAAAAAGTTAAATCCTTTTTGGAGAGACATTCTTCTTAATCTGTCCAAAATTAAAATTGAAGCCAGAAAAGATGAAACATGAAAACAATGCCATAAACATCCAGAGTCAACCCATTTGGCTGAATATTAACATTAAAAGATGGGGAAAGCCATTTGTTTATGATAATTATTGTAATGAGGGTATATTTTTATAAATAATATAATCTCAGATGGAAAAAACATACTGACATTTGAACAGTTTAATCTAAGTATACAGTTTATACCAATTTTGTTGAATATTATGATCTTGTTAGTGCAATCTCAAGTATCTGGAAAAAAAACAATTGCAGAGCATGGTAGATAAGATGTTATTGAAAATGATATTGTAGAAAAACTAAAAAATAATAAAAAAAAAAAAAACTATGTTAATATTTTTATCGATTTTTTTCTGGCCAATATTAAAGAAAATCCTTCAAGATCCATATAATACAGTTCAACATATAATGTTGATTTTAAAATATTATATTTATAGCTGTAAAAATTCAGGTGAAAAACCTTCTGTGAAAAGTAGTACTGAATATTTATAATATTGTATAAGAATAGAACAACTTTCTGTTAATTACTTATCCCCTACCCAAAACGAATATATACATGTATATAAAAAATGGTTGCCATTACAATCTGTCCTAGGTGAATTAAATATTTCATAACTGGTACAAACATTATAGTTATACTTTTTTTATTGTTTGCTATTTAAAGGAAATATCTTAAAGACCATACTTGAAACTGTACATGTGTAATCAAGCTTGATGTATTCTGTCTTTATTGAAAAAAAAAAAACAAAAACAAAAAAACAAAAACAAAAACAAAAAACAAACATAGTGTATATATAACTTAACTATCTAACGTATCGCAAAAAAAAATAATGCATTTGTACTCGTCTGGTAATTTATTGGTACCATATTGATGAGGATTGTTTTACAGGTGTAATACCACCAAATCATAGTACGTCACATCCGGTTGCAAACGAAAATAGGTCGAAAAAAAATATTCCCTTGAATTTGACAGTTGTAGGTAATTAATCCTACATTTCATTGCAATAAAACATTTCTGGGTCATAAACATATATCTTGGGTATTTAGAAGCACCATTATTTTTTTTATTTGGGGTTTCTATAGAATATTTTGGAAACTTGAGGTTACATGGTTACTAAAGCTTGTACACAGGTTAATAAAAGGGAAACATTTGATTGGTTAACTTCCAGTGATGGTTATTTTCTTATATGCAATGAAATGTTATGTAAAATTTTGTCTATAGTACTGGACAGAATAAAACTTTACTCTTGCCAAGTATTTCTTTATTTGAAACAAAGATAAATTCTGCACATTTTTTTGAAAATTGCAAATTTTACAAAGACTAATAGGGGAAAATCATTGGTGGTATTATACCTAATATGGAAGCTGTACATGCACCTTTGACCTTGTGAGAACTCTCGTGTGTTAAAATTTCTTGCTATTTAAGTGAAATATTACAAAAAATGAGATATTCTGAGTGGATTGAGTCTCCAAAACACATTTTATGAGAAAATTTCCTTGAAATAGGACTCTACCATGAATATTAGTTGACAGAACAAGCCATACTTAGTGTTTTGGGGACCTTTTTCTCCTTATTTCTTATATTCTGCTATAATAGAAAATGTTTCCTCAGAAATACTACAATAAATATATAGTTATAAGTAAATGAAATTATTTTTAAAGCAGTAACAACAAATTATTCACTAGAAGAGAAGCTTTTTATGTCCCTCTCTGGAACGCGGCGTAAATTTAAGTTTTACGTAAGGACTTATTGAAACCTCCTTGGAGACTGTAAACTTTTATATTGATAGTTCATTCAGCTTGTATACTTTAATTACTCATTTATTGTAACATTTCTATCATAAATGAGTGAAAGTTACACCAAAATTTTTATTTATTGGCCTAAAAAGTTGAAATTTTGAGGAAATGAGAGGTATAAATGGACCAAACAGACCTTATAAAGAAGACAAAGAGGTCCAATAGTGGTATTTATCATCCTAAAGTCATCTTTTGTATCATATTCAACTGTTTGAAGGCAGATGAGATAAATATTTGATCATTTATTAGTCCACACTATATTCTATCATGATGTATATGGTCATATTTATAAATTAAATGTTTACAAAACTTTGAATTGTTCGAAACACTAAGGATTTTTCCCCAGAAATAAATTTCCTGGGCTGTATTTGGTAAACCTTTCGGAATTGTGAGTCATTAGTGCTCTTCAACTATGTTCTTGATTTGGTCTTTTAATTTGTTTTAATTGAGCGACACTTATGAGTTGTTTGTAGACAAACCGCGCGTCTGGCATACAAAACTGTACGCCTGGTATCGTTGATGTTTTTTTTTTACTTTTTAATTTAGATTTATTCTGATAAAGGAGAAATAATCCATTTGGAACAATGTTCCATCGCCCATTACACATGCATTATAATGATTGATTGACTGTTGGTGCTTTAATGCATCTTTCAGCAGAATTGGCTATTGTGGTGGTCATTACAAATGCATTATGCGTTTGATACAGGTCAAGTATACCATGGAAGTATTATACTTCCATGAGTATACATTATGTTTTACTTTAAGTTAAGTTTCTTTAGTATTTTTATCTACTTTACTTTGAAATAATTGTCGCCAAAAGCACATCTTAAATGTTGGAAAATAAAAATCTCACAGAAAGTAAGCTATACAAATTTGAAGACAAGAATGATAAATGCATAAAAAAACTGAAAATAAGAAAAAAATATATCATGTATATTCAACGAGTAAATATCACGTCTTAGTTATATTATCTTTTTTCTGACCAAATGCAAAACTTAGTAGAAATATATGTTGAGATTGGAACTTCATGAAGATAAAATACAATTGTAAAAGAAATTAATGTACAGAAAATTTAAGTCTTTAAAGCAAAAATTTTAAATTATCCTAATTTAACTATTTCAGAAATGGAATGATTGCTTACTTCAGTGGGATCCAAATGATTTTGATGGAATCACTAACATTATCGTACCCTACAAAAAGATATGGGTGCCTGACTTAACCCTTTATGACAGGTATATACAGCCTTATTTGAAATTTCATAAATGTCTTACAGTGGCTTTATACTCTGAATATTTTAATGCAGTTAAAAGTTCACACTTTTTGTTCAAGCGCAAGTTGCGATGTTACTTTCGTTGCTAGTCCAGAAATTCCAACATATAGCTATAGTACTTTACAACTACTATTCTAAAAACCTTTGGTGTATTTACCACCCAAAAATATCCAATGCAATTTTTATAAATGTGATTGTATTCCATAAAATTGTAATGCTGTTCTGGAGGGATGTATGTAACTTGACACTTTTCACGATTTACTGTTGCTTTTTCTAATTTTAAAAGCAAATAAAGGCAACAGTAGTATACCGCTATTCGAAATTCATAAATCGATTGAGAAAAAAAAACAAATCCGGCTTTCAAACTAAAACTGAGGGAAACACATCAAATATAAGAGGAGAACAACGACACAACAGAAACACAACACTAAAATGCAACACACACAGAAACGAACTATAATATAACAATGGCCATTTTCCTGACTTGGTACAGGACATTTTAAGAAAAAAAGGTGGGTTGAAAAATAACCATTCAACTCTTAAATTGAACCCGTTTTGCAGTTTTATAGATTTCTGAACGAAACGCAATGAAAGGAGCAAATATTATTAATATTATTTAACTTTGGAACAAGCCAATATATACTTTCTATACATATGGTTATTTCTTTTTAAAAATTATTTATTCTCCACTTTATGATTTTTACAAATCTATGCAATATAATTATATAGTTTCTACACATGCAGTCGATGCAAGAAGAGAACAGTAATTGTGCAATATTTGCACAGATGGTTTTAAATTTGCACCTTTCTGAAAATTGTATTTTGACAGTCGCTCTCTCCTTTTAAAGAATTGCCAGTTAAATCCTTGGATGCTCAGTACCCCCTCTTTTTGGATATGTTGAAAATCCAATTCCGCTTCTGAGTAATTAAATGTTAATCACAAAATTTAAATGGGACAATGGGAAAGGGTGCAGTAAGGGGAGCGAGCCAGCTCCCTTCTTAGAACTCTGCTACCATGTATTTTTTGAACTATACCTGCTTCATGACCTAATATATTATTGATAATACATTTGTACCGCATTATTGTCATGTAGTGTAAATATCAAGGCTCAAGTATACAAATTAGTGCTTTTCCTCTGATATCACATACACTATCAACCACTTCCCCCTTTTTTAAAGATACATATAACTCATATAAATAAAGATTCGTTAAAACAACCTCATGATTGAAATAAACACCTTATCGTAATTTACCATGCAGCTTGCCATTCAATAACTAAACAAACTGACATGACCGGTGTTGTTTTATGTTATGGGAATACAAGTTCTGAGTCACTTTTACATGTTTTAGTATAATTCTTGTGTTAGCAACTGTCTATTATACAGTTGTATAGCAAAATTAAATAGACTGGATTAAAAATTAGTATAAATTTATCCTTTCTTTGAAAAGAATACCCCCAAACTATATAATAAGTTTAAAGTATGGGACGATCAGATCGACATATTGAAATATAAACGCAAAATAATTTATTTGAACTGTTAACACCATTCTTTTAACTACTTAATTGGTCATTTCCCTATACTTTTGATCTTTTGGATGTCTATTCGGAATACGTGTACCTAAACAATGTATACATACAATTGAGAATGGAAACGGGGAATGCGTCAAAGAGACAACAACCCGACCAAAGAGCAGAAAACAGCCCAAGACCACCAATGGGTCTTCAAAACAGCGAGAAAATCCCGCACCGGAGGCGGGCTTCAGCTTCAGCAAATAAATACAACGACGTTTTTTACCATAATAGTTTTTTAAATGGAAAACATTATTCACTTCCGTTTCAGTATTTCATCAGAGTTCTTTGGATTGGCAGATTTTAGACCAACTATTTACTATGATGGATCAGTGTATTACAACTTTCCGACAGTTATTGAAGCTTTGTGTCCCATTGATGTTGCAAACTTTCCTTTCGATTCCCAAAAATGCGAGTTGATTTTTGGTTCATGGGCTTATCATGGATTTTCGTTAGACTTTTCTCCAAGATCAAGTGCTGTCGATTTATCGTCAATGAAACAAAACGTGGAATGGGAGGTTCCAAATCTAACCGTAGAACGACATGTTGTTTATTATGGATGCTGCCCAGAACCATATCCAGATGTTACGTTCTACTTTCATTTAAAAAGAAAACCAGCGTTCTACGTGACGAATATAATAATACCGTCAATTATGATCACAATATTAGTGGCCCTTGGATTTATATTACCTGTTAGTTCCGGTGAAAAAGTATCCCTAGTGATAACTGTTATGTTAGCAATGTCTGTTTTCCAGCTACTTGTAGCGGACAAGCTTCCTCCGTCAGCTGAAGCAACACCATGGATTGGTAGGTATCAAATAATTTAATGCATAGCATTTATGTTGTATCCTTTTACTAAAGCCAAAATGACTACCTTGTCATTTTAAATAATGGGTTACGGGTTATATACCATATCCATAAGCTTGATACATTCAGAAAGTAAAATGAATAGTTATTTCGATAGGACTGTGTGGCTTTTATTTTGCTTTATTAATTAATTTTAAATATGTAGAGATGGAATATGAATTTGACGGGTGAGAACAAGAGTAACAATAAGTATATGTAATATATACATTCTGAATTTAACTCCTTTTACACTGATGATGACAGATACAATATTACCGACTACCGTATATACTAATTCAAATCTTCAACAGATAGTTGCCGATTCACATCAAATACACTGCACTTATAGAATTCTTTGTAATTTATGCGTAATTATGTGTCATTACCTGCTTTTTAAAATCACTAGTTATGAAATGTTATGCAATTGAAATAAAAAAATATCAGTCTAATATAAAAATAAGAAGTTGTGGTATGATAGCCAACGAGACAACTCTCTACCCGAGACAAAATGAAATAAAAGTTAACAACTATAGGTCACCGTACGGCCTTGAACAATGCCAATACCGCATAGTCAGCTATAAAAGGCACCGAAAAGACAAATGTAAAACAATTCAAACGAGAAAACTAACCATGCTAACGGCCTAATGTATGTTCAAAATAATAAACGAAAAACAAATATGATATACAGCAACAAACGACACCCACTGAATTACAGGCTCCTGAATACTTACACAATGAATCTCAAAACTATTCAACAGATTTATCTGGATTAAGAGTATTCACGTGCTTACTCGATATTTAAGCATAGGTCATCTGTCAACAAACATACAATGTATTCAAGCGGGTAAATTTAATAGCATCATCTTCTAAATATGTATCCATTGTTTCTTTGGATTCAGTTATCTTCTTCAACTTCATACTTGGATTATCTGGCGTGTCAACTATCCTTCAGGGAGTTGTAATCAACGTGTTTTACCGTGGCGAGCAAGCAATACCATACTGGCTAATGAAGGGTGTGATTACAACGGCATGCCTGATAACGTTTGTTACTCTGCCCGGGGCTGAAAGAAACAACTGCTGTACAAAAAAGGTATTCATTTAATTTTCGATCGAATTGTACCAGGAACAGGATGGTGTATTGATTTTTAGCTAAGATTCCTAACGTCCACTGCATACATAGTTTTTGGTGAGAAATTAAATAAATGGCGTTGACTCTAAAAGAGAACAGGCTGCCGTTTCATAAAACAATCGCTAATAACGACTAACGTTAATATTAGCGTGCGACTAACGACTACATAACGATTACGTTTACGTGCGTTTCATAAAGCATATGTAGACGAATCGTTAGATTTTTCGATCGTTAGACAATCGCTATTTATTTTTAGAACGGGAATCCCCGGATATCGCACTCTTTGTTGTTGGAGAAAAATATGCTAGTAATCGACTGAGAGTAAAAAAAGACTCCAAGTACAAGAAATCCCAATTTTAAATGTTTCCTCCAACGAGGTAGACTTAATAAATTTGTTTCCTATTTATTAAAGAATAATTCATGCAAGTCCTAGATTAGTTGGAAATTTTCACATGACACACGATTTATTTTTGCGTAGCCAAATTGGCCTTCGTAGGCTACGCGTACCCGCAACCGATTTTATAATAAACTGTCATATGATCGGGAATGAAACGTGAAAGATACACGAAAAATATCGGATATTTCCTGACTTTGTGAATTCAGTGAAGATAATGGCAAATAATATTTTTTTAATTTGTATTATTAGTTATAAAAACCGAAATTAAATGTAAATGCACATTAAAAGAATAAAATTATACAGAATATGAATAAATATATGTAAAAAAAACTCGAGTGAAATATTATTTGTTATATTTGTTTCGCGATCATTACAAGTAATATTTAAAAAAGTCACATTGTGTTCCTGTAATATAAATCTATACTACTCAAGGAAGAGACTGATTTCATTGAGCAGCAACTCCTCTGAAACCATACAAAGTCGGAAATATTTGTGATATGACGTATACATGTAGTGTTTTGTAGTACTTATTTTTCTTTGAAACAATCTTTTTTCTACAGAAAACGACAATTTTATTTAGTAAATCTCAAAATTCGAAGACCTTTATCAATCCGTGTCTTATAGGCTTTCGTGTATGATCAGTCGGCGTACTACCCGCGAAAATTGATTTTTGTTTTGTTTCAACTCCTGCCTAATTGTACTGCGATTTCGCGGGCATCTTCTAGTAATATAGAATGCTGTCAGGATCAGTAAACTATGTTTTTATAAAAAATTAATACTTAACTGAACAGTACGTCAATTAGTCTTCGGTGAAAATTTTAGGATGGTCTATCTGCCAACCTCGCGATGCAGCGATTAACTTCCGGAATCAATCGTACGGCGGTTATACCCCGTGGGCATGATAGAACTATGTAGAGCCATAAATGTATTTAATATGGCCATATATTCTTGCAATCACGTATTTGCTAATTTGCAACAACAATTTGTAAAGAATTCAAACATAATTTAAGGTGACTCGAATGTTGCTGATACTGGAATTTTGACTCGAACTCGAAGTTTAACTTGGAAAGTAACTCGAAATATAACTTGAAGATCATCTCGAACTTGAACTCGAACTATAATTGATTGTAATTAAGCCACATGCAATTTACCACCTCGCAACTCCTAGAATGTGTGTTCCAGATATAATACACGCAAAGAATTTTGAATACCACAAAAGGAACTGATAGGATTCAGTTTTATTCATGTTTGATAAAATATGAGGTGTGCATGTTCATGTTAGAACCTATAATTATGAGATATCAATCTTGACCCCAAAATTTACTAGGCCGACATATATGGATCTACCAATCTTTACTAATACCCCACATGCTGCATACTAAAAGGAGAAACAGCAAATACCAACTTTCTTCTTTGGTTTCAACTTGCTGAGAATCGAATCCACGGCGATTCAAATATGAGTAAATATTTTATTTATTTCATGGCAGTGCTTAGGTTTCGAGATATAAGCAAAAAACCGCCCCCCGCCCCTTTTATGTTTAATTTTTGGCAATGGTGGCAATTTTCTTATGTATGAAATCCCCGGATAGAATTTATAAACTAGACACAACTATAAAGAACATCCAGTTAAAGTTGGATGTATTTGGAACAGTAATTTCAGAGGAGAAGAATTTTATAATAATTTACGACGACGGACGTCAAGTGATGACATAGGCTAACATGGCCCTATTTTAGACTGTATGTGAAATGTTAAAGCTGCAAAAAAACAAGTACTAAATATCTTTTCGATCTAGACTATTTTTGGCATATCAATTTTCAGAATAATTTGATAATTACTGAGTGATATTAAAGTCTGGGGACACGTCAGTTTTATAAGTTATAATTGGTGTAAGACTAGTTTCAGTAACTGTCAATCGGTACTTTATCTTTTGATCGTTGGTTTTTTATGCCTTTGTTGAGTTGAACCATTTTCAATATATCTTTATAATTCATTCTTATGTTGTACTGTTTTGTAACTTTTTTTCATGCATACTCTAGCCAAACTCGTGACTCTGCACCTAAGCGACATTACATATCCAAGTGATAATACAGTCGAAAGTTGTTTACCGACAAGTGACCGTACAGTGAAAAATATTTAGTGACATGTGTTTTTAAAGATTTAGAACTATTTGTGAGTGTAAACATATTGAAGTTAAATTTTGAAAACAATTCTTTTATTAAAAGTCAAAACTTCAGCTGAACGAACACAACTATTTCCATAATTTGGGTCGGAGCTCTTAGTTTTATTTCAATTTCCCCCCTGTTTTCTTGCTTTAAGAATGGGTTCGGCACCCCTCAATGTTTGAATATTAATGACAGATACAAAAGTTTTCTCATATACATTACAAGTAAGCCCCAGAGATAATAATGAAAAAAAAAACACGTATCCGAAAATTATTTCGAATGTCGGAGCCCCGCTTGACAGTCCCCCGAATGACCACAATATCAAAAAAAAACCATACAGTTGCGTTCCCACATTGTGTTTATTAAATAGAGAACATAAAAATTTATAGCTTTTTTTTAAAATTTTTAATACCTTTTTAATCACATCGATGGCTTTAATGAGGGTAGCGATGCACTTTACCGTCAGGCGCCAAACGGTCATTTTCGGCTTACGTCGCGTTAGCGACAAAATGGTTAAAGTTTTATCGTGATTCGTCAAATAAAATTGAGAATGGAAATGGGGAATGTGTCAAAGAAACAACAACCCGACCATAGAGCAGACAACAGCCGAAGGCCACCAATGGGTCTTCAATGCAGCGAGAAACTCCCGCACTCGGAGGCGTCCTTCAGCTGGCCCCTAAACAAATATGTATACTAGTTCAGTGATAATGGACGTCATACTAAACTCCAAGTTATACACAAGAAACTAAAATTAAAAATGATACAAGACTAACAAAGGCCAGAGGCTCCTGACTTGGGACAGGCGCAAAAATGCGGCGGGATTAAACATGTTTTTTGAGATCTCAACCCTCTCCCTATACCTCTAGCCAATGTAGAAAAAACAAACGTACAACAGTACGCACAGTAAAGCTCAGTTTAAGAGAAGTCCGAGTCCGATGTCAGAATAGGAAACAAAAGAAAATAAAGAAAATGACAATAATACATAAATAACAACAGACTTCTAGCAGTAACTGACATGCCAGCTCCAGACCTCAATTAAACTGATTGAAAGATTATGTCTTCATCAAATGAATATCAGGCACAATCCCTCCTGTTAGGGGTTTAGTATTATACCGTCATAAAATATATGAGAAGAACATAACCCGTGTCATGCCAACAACTGGTTTTAGAATAAATATGTTTAATTCCGATGCAAAGACCCTATAAGTGAATCAATATTAAAGCCAAAATATGCTATCTTTAATGACCTGACAACAGTATCGTAACTATATCCCTTCTTAATAAGTCTGTTTAAAGGTTTTGTTAGCTTTTGAGGTGAATACTGACATTTTTGTGCTTTGTAAAGAATATTAACCATAAAAGATTGGATGTGAAATACCCGAACGTATAAGATGTCTGCATATGGAACGCCTCAGCTGTCTTATGTGGAACTCTGATATTACTTTATGTTGTTTTATTATTACTTGATGATATTTTGTCTTTACTTAATATGGTTTTGACATTACGTAATGATGTTTTGATATAACTCAATATGGAATAGTCATTACTTAATGATATTTCGATATTACACGATATGGTTTCGTATTGACTTGATATAGTTTTGTCATTACTCAATATGGTTTTGTCATTACTTGATGTGGTTTCACCATTATTTAATGTGGTTGTGTCATTAGTCAATGTGGTTTTAACATTACTTGATGTGAATGTGACTTAACGTTGTGTAGTTGTTTCATTACATGATGTGGTTTGTAATGATGATTTGCCTATTCTTTATATGGTTTTAACATTACGTAATGATGTTTCAAAATTTGACGATTTAACACTACATGATATGTTTGTTTCATTATTTGATGTGGTCCTGTCATTCTTTGATGTGGTTATCCCATTACTTGATGAGGTGAAATCACGTGACCAATTCGGAAAAAACCTGTTCTATTTTTAGATAGATTTCCATGTTGTATGTGCCTTGGATGAGTGCGGCCATCCATCGAATTAGAGTTCAAATTAAAGTTAGGGTTACTGTTTGAGTAGAACTTTGAGTTAGTCTCCGATACCGAATTTAAGTCATTATTAGAATTAAAGTTTTAGTTAGCATTGAGTTTCGAGTTGGACTTCAAGTTTGAATCACATTTAAAGGTAGAGTTCTATAGTTACACCATTAAATTTGAGTCACTTTTTGAGTTTGAGTAAGATTCGAATTTAAGTCTCATTTAGATTAATTAAGATTTTGAGTTGAAATTCGTGCTATCTTATATGAGTTCGTAATTAAATTTTCTATCGCGGAACAAGGACTTTTGCTCGGGATTCCGAAAAGAGGGCTCCGGGGTATGCGTACAAAAGATAAACAATGTTACAGTATACAAAACGCAACATAGAAGTTGAAATAAAGTTAGATGTGGTGTGATTGACAATG